GGTGGACTCGGGAACGAGGACTGGCTGAATTCGGCCACCGCCTCATTTAACGTGGAGCCGTCACTCAGGACGCGGGTCTCACCCGGAGACGAAGCCGGCCTGCCTGTGCGTGGCAGAGCCGCAGCCCCGGGCTGCAGAACTGGCTCCGGCAACTGCCTCTCCTAACGGCACCGGCCACTCTCCTCCCTACCCTGGGAGTCATCGGGACTCGGCTTCCAGAGCCGCCATGCCGTTCACCCCACCTTCATGTCAAGGGGGTCACAGCACCCCCATCACACCGAGGAGGAAGCTGAGGCCAGGAGGGCGTCTGGCCGGCTCAAGGCTACAAAATCCTGCATCTTCTCTATTCTAGGTAAATATTTCTGTTGGGGAATTATTATTATCATTATTATTATTATTATTTCTCTTAAAAAGTAAGATGTACTCTGTTTCCCAACATGCACTACAGCACTGTAGCAAAGGGAGCAAACTTTAGAATCATTCTTGACCTAGAATTCTGGGCCAACCACTAAGCAGGTGACCTGGTGTGAGATGTCATTTTATTATCCGAAAGTAGAGCTTATATTCTTACATTAGTGTGAGGATTAAATGCCATAGTCTACATAAACTCACACACACTATCTTCGTCCTTCTTCTGAGCCTTTACATTTGCAGTTCCCTCTGCCTGGCATCCTCTACCCCCAGATCACGGCATGCCTCGCCCCTGTTTGTGCAAGTTTCAGCACGGGCACCACTTCCTCTGACAGGTCTTCCCAGACGCCGTCTCTAGAGTCCTTCAGCCCACTCACACCCAACCCCCTCTCTACTCCCTTACCTCCTATCTTTCCTTCATGACTAGTCTGTCCCCATCTCGTTATCAGACTTAAACCACATCAATTTTTCTGCCTAATTGTCTGTCTCCTCCACTAGAATGTCGGCTCTGTGTGGTCAGGGCCAGCTCCCTTCCTCCCACTTCCCATTCACCACCGTATGCCTAGGACCTAGTGTTTGGTATGCAGTAGATGCAGAGCAAAGATTGCTTGAAAGTGTGAATTCAGGAGCTAATGTGATGACTGAATGAACTGCTTAGCATGGTGCCTGGCCTTGTCAACAAGTGGTAATAGTCATTGTAAGTAATACTACTACTTTGCCTCTTCCTCAGAGGAAGAGGTCTTAGTCCTGATAAGATATACAGGGGCCCACTTACGTTAATTGTTCCTGTTAACCCTCAATGTCTCTGCAGCAGTAGGCAGCCCTGGCCTGTACATGAGAAGTTAGCAGTACTCCCTAAACTCAGCTCCATCTTGGCAGGTAATCCACAAGCTTCCTAAGGACCTTTGCATGAGAGGGGCACTCGGGAGCATTGGCTTTTCACATCCTGTGCCCTGATGACACAGAGATAGTCCCAAGCTTCTCAGGACCCTCTTGCCTTGCAGCTAGCAGCTGCATATTCCAAACTAACCCTGGGTAAGCACTGTCATCCACCAGTCCACAGTGCTGTTTAGGACCTGGGGAAGGCCTGCGAGGGTCTTTCACGTGCATCATCTGACATTGCTGATGAGGGCATCATTCTCTAATGCAGCTATCCCCTGCGCCTTGTGCTTAGGGAAACGAATTTCACAGCCAGGGCTGCGGCTGGCTTCCTTGTAAATAGGCAGATCCAGGCTCTGGGCCATTTGTGGTCCTGAGAAGCCATGACAGTGACCAGTCTATATTCTTTGGTCCCAGACCCTAGTTAACTGACAGGATTTAGAAAGCCCAGATATTCACAAAAGAGCAGATATTATTTTAAGTGGGCCCGCCAAAGTATCCTTGTTTTCACTAAACTACTGTTAATGTAAAAATAGCCTGAATTTTGTATCAAATTGTCAGTCCTCATTCTTTCATCTCCCTGCTTTGGCACACATCAGAACCAGCAAGCCAAAAAGCCTGTGCACTGCTTGTCATGTGCTGGCATGAAGCCTGAACCATGTATGTCCTGGTAACACAAGGAACCCCTACCCTAACCACAATATAACCCAAGCTGGTCATCTGTCTCTGCTATCCCAGGACATTTATGCAGCTCTTTGTAAACCTGCCCTGATCTCCCCAGAAAACTTTGTTATGTAATAAATCTTGTTATTCCTTCTTGCTTTGTGTGTGTTGGTGGAGGTGGCGGGAGGTGGGGGTACAAGTAGCAACATTGTCTTAATTTGTATTTTTTATGATACATTTTGGAAATTATTTTTGAAGGGTCATAATCCCAAAGAGAGAGAGAGGAAAGAACGACTTACTACTGATTTCAGGAAGATGAACTGCTCAGCTACTAAGGCAGCTGAGACAGAAGAATTGCTTGAACACTTGTTAAAAGTGAAACGGTGAAACTTAACTTTCTGGTAAAAATTAACAAAAACTGTAAAAGTTTCACTGTTGGGTCAAAGGGCTACTATTTTTCTGTTAAAAAGGTATACTGGGAAATGTTAGAATTATTAAATACACAGTAGAATCCAAAGGAGTCTCTGTTCTTTACTAATCATAAAGGTTGAAAGATAAAATTTTCTGTCTACCTGCTTCAGTTTTATTTAACACAGGGCTTGTGCGCTATGTAAACCCATAGTTCCTTCTGGGATGATTCTCCTCAACCCAGGGAAACCCTTAGGGTTCACAGCTTTCCTTCTAAGACCCCACCAGATCTGAACTATCCATCCTCTGGAGCAGTGTTCCTCTCAATGTTCAGAGCCTCCCCTGAGCCCCCTCAGACCTGCGCATACTCCCACTCTCTGCTCTCATAACACCCCAGACTGGCCTGGTTGCAATTACACTACCACAATAACCAGAATTGCACTCATATTGTCAAGTGTGTTCTTGGTTGCTTCGCGTCGGCCTTCCATTAGATCATCGGGTCAGGGCTCTTTGTTCCTTTTGCTCTCCATTTCATCCTGCAGCCCAGCCCTGGGACTAGCGTCTACTAGATGCTCATTTAACATTCATGAAATGTTGTTGAATGAGTGACTGTTCTGGGCCACTGCAGGAAATAATACATTCCCTAAAAGGTATTTAGTGCAGAAAAGATGCACTCTTTAGGGGCTGAGGAGCTTTGACTTTTCACATCCCGTGCCCTAATGACATGGAGATAGTCCCTAAAGAGCCTGTGCAAATTATAAAATGGTGCTTTTTCTATCCCTCGCAAAATTGTCATTATATATCAATTTGGGTAAATCAATACAGTTTCTTACCATCTTTTGAACAGCTGTCCTATTAAATTCATAAACCTACAACGTCTAGGGTGTGAATTACTTTGCCTTAAACATGTCTATGGGCAGTGCACAACCTGCACAACCTTACTCAGCAGTCCTGAGCGTGTTCAGAGATGCACAGGCTGGGAGGCCACTCACTCGGGACAGAACCTGATCCTACTGCAGCCAGGCTGGATGGCCCTGTGCCCCTCCACTGACCTCTCCTGGAGAAGTGTGCTCATGATTCCCCAGGCCATCCCCATGTGGCTTTCTCTACTGAGACATTTTAGATTCTAAAGCTGTAAATGGATTTCAAATACAATCACACAAAGTAGATACTGAGCTAGAAGTTCATCCACATCTTAAGGTTAACCCGGGTCTTAACCCATCATCCAAAAAGGAGATGCAACAAATCTTTTAGGGAAATAAGACAGTGACATTCTGGGAAAAGTGAACTGAGAAAAGGTGAGAGAAGGCATGGGGAGGGGCCCAGGAGTGTGATGAGGTGGTTTTTGCAAGGGTACTTTTGGTGGGATTGCATCATACAGTGACTCTCTGGGGGTCAGAACTCTGCTTTGTCTAGACCATAGCTACAAATTATGCTGCCCCCATGATGTGATTAGGCACAGAGCAAGGCTAAGGCAGCTCCACCTTTGCCCTCCCCAAAGCTCAGATCATTGGGGACCCCCCTCTTTGTCTCTCCTGAGAAAATGTGTGGTCTCTCACGGTGACCCGTGAGCCTCTAGGGACCCAATAATCTGCGTTAGTCCGGGAGAAAAACACAAGCAGCTGACTTTTTTCATCTGCATTTTTCAGGAGTTTAGAGTCAGCTACAAATAAAACAGTGCTGTTATCTAATATGGTGGCCATTATTTTTTTTTTCTCATTTTTACCTGAGGAGTAAATTATACAGGTTATTTTATCAGGTGAAGTTTTAAATGAGCTTTGGTATTAATATATAATACAAAGTGACAGGCTCTATTACTGCAAGGAACTGAAGAGAAAATTGGAAGTTTACTTCTTACAGAGGAACCTGGAGGCCCATAGAGAAACAAAGAAACCATTTTCTGTTCTTGACAGAGAGAGCTTTTCTCTCATTTGAAGATGTAGACCTCACAGTCACAAACTGAACTGTGGCCATTCATTTAAAAAGTCATATACAGACACAACACAGGTTTGAATATGATTTTCTAAATCCAGATGTTTCCTGAAAAAAAAAATGTTTCCACAATGCAATATCCAACATGAATTCTACATTTTAATCATAAAATACTTTCATAAACCCCATTTTGAAATTTTAGACAACTCAGTTCATTGAATAATTATGTCGGTCCTGTAGATCAGGAGGGTAAAAGGAACCAGTAGTGACTACTTTATTTAGTAAATATCTTGACAAGCCATAGCATCTCTGCTGCAACTACTAAACTCTGTTGTAGCCAAAACCAGCCGTGGACAATACATAAAAAAAGAGACATGGCCGAGGTGCATGTATTTGTCCATTTTCGCACTGCTGTAAAGAATATTATCTGTGACAGGGTCATTACAAAGGAAAGAGGTTTAATTGACTCACAGTTCCACATGGCTGTGGAGGCCTCAGGAAGCTTACAATTTGGCGGAGGGCAAAGACACCTGCTTCACAAGGCAGCAGGAGAGGAGAGAGTGAAGGAGGAACTGTCAAACACTTACAAAACCATCAGATCTCATGAGAACTCACTCACTATCACGAGAACAGCATGTGGGAACCACCCCCATGAACCAATCACCTCCCTCCTTCAACATGTGGGGATTACAGGTCCCTTCCTTGACACATGGGGATTGCAATTTGAGATGAGATTTCAATGGGAAGGCAGAGCCAAACCATATCAGTCCCATAACACTTTATTCACAGAAACATGGTGGACCAGATTTGGCCTTGGGCTTTAGTTTTTTGACCTGGGCCATAGATGACTGTCCCTCCAACCCTGCCTGAATCAATTCTCCCGTAAGATTTGTGGTCTCCATTCATTGCAGCTCCATGCTTTTTGTTGCTGAAAGAAAAAAAAAAAATCTTGATTCCTCATTCTCTTACACCTAAGATGATATCCATCAGCAAACCTCATCTCCACCTTCATGTATTTAGAATTTGAACACTTCTCACCAGCGCTACCTCCAGAGCTTCCTCCCTGACTCAAGCCCTTGTCATCTTGGCCTCAATTACTGCTGTGCACGCCCAAGCAGCCCTAGCCTTTCCCCTTGATGCCCGTGGGCCTTTGCCTGACAGCACAGTGATCCTGTTAAAATGTCAATCAGACTCTTCTTCTCACACCATGTCACACACACAGTCAAAGCCTTTACAGAAGTGGATGGAGCCTATAATGCGGTTTCCTGTGTTCAGCATAGTCTCCCCATCTCCCCCTACCCTCAGGCCATCTCTCCCTACTCTCCTCTTGGTCTCACTGGTCTTCCTGCTGTTCCTGTAACATGCCAGACACATTTCTGCCTCAGGATCTTGGCACATGCCATGGCCTCTGCTGGAGAGCTCGTTCTCCAGGTGGTGGCAGAGCTTATTTATCCATTTTTTTAGGTTTCTCGTTGACCTTCTCAGGGCAACTTTCCAGAAAAACGAATCTTCACACATCAAAATATTATTTCATGCTTCTCTGCTTTATTTTACTCCTTAGCAACTTTTCTAACCGTCTACATATTTTATTTATAGATTGGGTCTACTGTTTTTCTATAAGAGCCAGAGATTTCGGCTCATTTTTTTTTCTTTTCTATATCCCCAGTTCCTAGGATAGTTGAGGTAGCCCATTGATAGGTGTTGAATGAATGGACAAATGTGTGAACAATATTGTTAGCTCTGCAGACAGGATACTGAAGATCCAGGTGATTTTTATACATATGGCTAAGCACACTCAGATCTTCAGAAGCAAAACTAACGAACATTAAAATGGCATGCCATGGTTTACTTATTGAGCTGGTAAAAACTTACTTTTTATAAAGTAATATCCTGTGTCAGGAAGGGTATAGTGAAAGAAACATTTCCCATACTGCCTATTTCAAAGACAATTAAAGCAGTCTTGCTCCAGAAAACTTTGTCAATATTTAGCAACTGTCTTAACATTGCTTATACAAAGTGATCCGGTAATTCATTTTAATAATCACCTTAAGGAAATAACTGGGGACATGAACAAAAATATGTAAAATGATATTCACTGAAACTTTGTTAATGTTATAAAAAAGGAAATAGTCTAAATACCCGACAATGCAAGTATTAGCCAAATGATGCATGTCTCAGTTGAGTAGTGAGATATCTTATGCCATTGAAATCTTATTTAGAAATGTATTAGTAACATGAGAGAAAAGTTTGCAATATATTGTTATAGCAAACTGAAATGGCCTCAGTTCTTCCACCTCGGCATACACCGATGAGCCGTGGCCTCCGCAGGGCTGGATGTACTTTCCACCCCTCTGACTTTTGGCTCAACCCTGTTGATTTGCTTGGAAACTTAACATTTCCAAAGTGACTTGCTTTGGCCTGTGACAGGTAGGTAGAGAAGACAGCACACCTGTCTGGAGCCTGGGCCGAAGGAGTCTCATGTATTTCTGTTGGCCCTTATGTGCTTCTGTCATCACCCTCAGAGAGACACAGAGGCTGAACTGCTGTCTCAGGAGAAGGACGTGAGACATGTGGCAGGAGCCACCCCAGCTGAGCTCCCAGGGTGAACTCACCTGGATCATCTGTAGGAAAGATTCACTAGAAAAAAAATGACTGCTGTTTTAAACCCCTGAATTTAAGGATGTTTTATTACACAGTAATAAACCAATACAGCTGCATACTTTAAAAAAGCAACATGTTAAGAATGGTAACCATAGTAAACATGCTTTCATCTTGTTGAGAAAAAGATAGATGCAGAGAAGAAACTAGAAATAACTTTGTCAAAAGTTAATTGTGATTATCTCAAGGCAGTGAGAAAACAGATATTTAAAATTTTTATTCTTTGTAATTTTCCAGGTTTAACATAAACATTAGTTACTTTCACAATCAGGGAAAAGCAAAACTAGAATTATTTCCCTGACAGAGTTCATTTGTGTCATTCGTATGGAAGAGAGAGGTGGAAGGTATACGGTAGCAAAGCAGTGTTGAAATGGGATCTGGAATTAAAAATCCTGCGATAGGTTTCTGTCTCAACCCTCCATCTGCCTAGGAGATACTGTTCTGAGTAACAGAGCAGTGAAATGAGGCTAAGACACTAACAGAGTGACTATAAGGATTATGTGGAAAAACAAACATTTATACAGAAAGGTCATTTAATGATGAATCCAGCTTTTAATTATATCTCAGGGAAGCAGGAGAATAAGATTTGGAGGCAGGGAACCTAAGGCCAATTTATGCTGACTCCCTAGAACTGAATCAGAAGGAAACCCCACCTTTCTATGCCCAAGTAACAGAAGGATCAGAGGCCACTCCCTTTGCAACCCGACCCCCATTTCTGTTCTGCAGTTGAAAAATGGAAAATACCTTTGATTGGTCTTCTCCCGCAACCAGTCATGCTGTCACAGGCCTAGTCTTCATTTGCATGGGGGTGTAGCTTTGTAACTTCACTTCAGTCTCTGATTGGTCATCTACTGTGACCAATCAGACTTGTCCCAGGCAAATTCTTCATTTACATAGGGTGTAACCAAGTAACCAATGGGAAACCTCCAGAGGGTATTTAAACCCCAGAAAATTCTGTAACCAGAGCTCATGAGCCACTTGCTTGAGCCTGCTCCCACTCCACAGGGTAAATCTCTGCTTTCATTGCTTCATTCTTTTATTGCTTTGTTTGTGCATTTTGTGAAATTGTTTCTTCAAACCGCCAAGAACCTGAATGACTTCTAGTGAGTATTTCAAGTGATTCCGACATAAGTTGTTGCTGTACTTCACAGTAACATCAGCGTGAGGTCCAGTGTCAACTTCTGTCAGAATCACTTGAAATACTTTATTAAATGCTGGCTTCTGTTCACCTCCCTTCGCCAAATCAGTCTGGTAGGGAAGCCTGGGAGTCCACATTTTAAATGAAGTTCCCAGGTGTTTCCGAATCCCACTAAAGTATGAAAACCATCAGTCTAAATCATCGAATATTTTTCAAGTATTTGTATTACTTAAGTCCAGCTTTAAAAGGATCATTCTTTGATTCATTAAAAATATAACTTACAAACAGCCTTGGGAAATATGTTTAAATACAACAGGTAAATAAGAATTCATAGCGGGAAAATGCATATATCTGGGGAATGTGTTCATATGTGTTCATAATAATCAGGTTCCACTCAGGACACAGAAATTACACCACTAATTTGAACATTAAGCTTTTAATATAAAAAATATCCATTAAGAGGGATGAAAACTCTTTAGGATATAAGGGGACTTCAGAAAGTTTGTGGAAAACAAAATTAAAAGATAAAAGTAAATATAAACAGTATTTCTTAGCATAAACTCCATCAAATTGAAGACACTTTTGTGAGTGGTGATGGCAGGTATTTGGTCCATCGCTATAGAACTGAGGATCCTGGAAATGTTACCATGTCAATGCAGTCTTTTCACATTATGAACTGAAGAAAAGCAGGTAAATAGGTGCCCTTTAAATATAAATTTATTTCTTAAGAAGAAGTCAGAATAAACCAAATCAGGATTGTAAGGTAGATACCTAATGGTTTCCTGTGGAAACACTTGCAAAATTGCCATTTTCCTTATTTTTTAAAATTTTGATTATTATTTTTCTCTTTTATTGAAGCAAGTTCTCCCTCTGTCACCCAGTTTGGAGTACAGGGGCACAATCATAGCTCATTGCAGCCTCAAACTCCTGGGCCCAAGCAATCCTTTCTTCTTAGCCTCTCTATTAGCTAGGACTATAGATGCTTGTCACCATTTCCAGCTAAGGTATATTATTATTATTATTGCATTATAGAGATGGGATCTCGCAATGATGCTCAGGCCAGTCTCAAACTCCCGGGCTTAAGCAATTCTCTCCAATTCTTGGGCTTAAGCCCAAGTGTTGGGATTCCAGATGTTAGCCACCATGCTCAGCTGCAAAATTGCCCTTGTTTGAGGAGAGCAATGACCAGGAGCTTTGTATTGTGATGGTGGAGAAGGACTGTACTGAAGCTTACCTGGGTGTATTGTGATGGGGGAGAAGGACTCTACTGAAGCTTACCTGGGTGTTTTGTGATGGTGGAGAAGGACTCTACTGAAGCTTACCTGGGTGTTCTGTGATGGTGGAGAAGGACTCTACTGAAGCTTACCTGGGTGTTTTGTGATGGTGGAGAAGGACTCTACTGAAGCTTACCTGGGTGTTTTTCTGCCAAAGCTTTGGCAACCTTTCTCAAAACACTCTCATAATAAGCAGCTGTCATTCTTTGGCCTTCCTGAAAGTCAATAAGCAGAATACCTTCAGCATTCCAAAAAACTACTGCCATGGCCTTTGCTCTTGACCAGTCCACTTTGCTGTGACTGGACCTCTTCCACCTCTTGGCGGCCATTGCTTTGATTGTGCTTTGTCTTCAGGATAGTGCCAGTAAAGCCATGTTTCATCTCCTGTTACAATTCTTCAGTGCAGTGCTTCAGGACCTTGGTCCCACTTTTTAAAATTTCCAAGGAACGAAAGTTTTGCTCTTCTCTGTGGTTGATCTGGGTGCAACGGTTTCTATATCCACTGGTTGGAAAGTTTGCTCAACTTTTATCATGAGCCTGATTTATGTAAGGTGAACCACTTGAGATGTCTACAGTGTTGGCTATTGTTTGTGTTGTTCATCGTCAGTCCTTTTCTTTCTTTTTTCTTTTTTTGCAGAAAATATCTTTCTTTCTTTTAAGTACAGGTTTGTTACATAGGTGTTCAAGTGCCATGGTGGTTTGCTGCATCTGTCATCATCCTGTCATCTACATTAGGTATTTCTCCTAATGCTATCCCTCCGCCACCCTCCCACCACCTGCTATCCCTCTCCTATCCCCCCACCTCCCAACAGGCCCTGCTTTGTGATGTTCCCCTCCCTGTGTCCATGTGTTCTCATTATTCAATACCCACTTATGAGTCAGAGCATGTGGTGTTTGGTTTTCTATTCTTGTGTCAGTTTGCTGAGAATGATGGTTTCCAGCTTTATCCATGTCCCTGCAAAGGACATGAACTCATCCTTTTTCATGGTGGCATAGTATTCTGTGGTGAATATGTGCCACGTTTTCTTTATCTAGCCTATCACTGATGGGCATTTGGTTTGGTTCCAGGTTTTTGCTATTGTGAAGTGCCACAATAAACATATGTGTGCATGTGTCTTTATAATAGAATGATTTATAATCCATTGGGTGTATACCCAGTAAGGAATTGCTGGGTCAAATGGGATTTCTAGTTCTAGATCCCTGAGGAATCGCCACACTGTCTTCCACAGTGGTTGAACTAATTAACACTCCCACCAACATTGTAAAAGCATTCCTATTTCTCCACATCCTCTCCAGTATCTGTTGTCTCCAGACTTCTTTTTTAATGATCGCCATTCTAACTGGCATGAGATGGTATCTCAGTGTGGTTTTGATTTGCATTTCTCTAATGACCAGTGATGATGAGTTTTTTTCATAGGTTTGTTGGCTGTCCTTTTCAATTAGGGCACAAACAAAAAGAAATTCTTTCCTGCAAATTGATGTGGGCTTCATTTTCAACATTGTTTTGTTTATCGTTAAAATGATTTAACCGTGTGTAAACTGCTGATTTCTCTTAGGCTTGTTCCCATAAACATTTTTTAGTGTCAGTTATCTCTATTCTTCACCTAAGTTTCACCATAAATTTGATGTTTGTTTTTGCTTCCATTTTAGCAGGATTCATGTTGCACTCACAGGGACTTTTTCTTAAACTGATGTCTTCCTCTTCTTGCTGCTGCTTTAAAATAAATCCTACTCAGATATGCTACAAAAAGTCAGTATAAGTTTATTTTGATGCAAAAATTGTTTTGAAATCCATGCATAACTTTTCCATAAATATACATTTTCCATGAATTTTTGAAGACTTTGTACAGGGATAATAAATGGAAGGAGGTGCTACCACCTCTAGGGCAAAGAAAAGTACCCAAGAAGTGAAAAACATGAAGAGTACTTTCTCCCAAGCTGAAATTCATTGAGCTAGTGTGGCTGTACCCTGTTATGTGATTGGAAAGTGTGCTGTATGTCTTGGGCCAGAGCTGGTACCCAGTTAATAAGCAGAACTACCCACCGGTGAGCCAATGAAACTCACTGAACAATGAACACCATTGGCCCTCTGCAGGCTGCTGGGAGCTATGCCACAGGAACAGAAAGAAGACACTGTAATCAGGAAGAAGAGCCCTTCCTCAGCTGTCCCTTTCACTGTCTCTCTAGCACCCCCATTGGAAAAGGTCAATATTGACAAATGAGAAATGTTTACAGGGTCGGGCTCCAAGACCACAAAGGAGGGAGAGAAGGATGGAGTTGGAGCTGACAGACAACAAACAGAATTGGCACATTACTTTTCCCAGAAAGTTCAAGATCTGTGTTCAAAATTTCCTGCCATAACTTACAACACTATGTATGGTGTTAATTTTATCTTTGTTATTCTGCCTGTACTAAATCTGTTATCAATGAATCCGTACTATTTGAAAAGATGTTCTGAATAATTATGATTATTCATTTTATCAGGACCTCAATTTTCGAGGGAGCCAATGAAAACATAGAAGATAACATAGTTGTGTTTCCCATGGGTCTTTAGATCAAATGATAAT